CTTCCCTGCAGACCCGGCCTGCCTGTGGTCTCGGGCGGCAGCACCCCCCCGCCCCCCGCCACCCCATGTCCTCCACTGCTCCCTGCCCACGAAAGCTCTGCTCCTCAGCCTCAGGGTCAAACGGGCGCTAATTATTTTCCAGATCAGAGGGCGGTTGAATTCTCAGGCCCTAAGCTTGGCCCTGGCTTTCTACTTGAGGACGGCCGGTCTCACTTCAGACGTACTCGACCAATACGTCAGCACGACAAGAGCAGTGCAGCTAATTTTTCTCCAAACCGAACGCCCGGAGAGTCCAGTCTGGCCGCCAGGAAAGAAGGGAGTTTGACCCAGACGCGGAAACGCACTGTCTATGGGATCAGGGGTCTACGCAGGTGATGCCCTCCCGTGGGAGGCTACCGGACCCCGGCCGGGAGGTTTCCGAACACCGACTTCAGGACCGTCCAGGTCGCCACTCTGCCCTGCTGAGCGCACAGCCCTGGTCGGGTAGAAACACAGCCGCCATAAGGAGACCCCACCTGATGAAGCTGAGATGAACACCCAGGGAGCGGTGCACCCCGGAGCAGTCAATGCACAAGAAAACACCGTACGTGATGCTGGCCCAACTCGGATTCTTGGCGCCACAGTCGAAGCAGGCCTGGATGGAGGAGGCGATGAGCGAATGATCAGGGACCCCGAGCGGAGGCCGGGCACTGACACCCAGGAAAACTGCCCACGTCCGCCCCCTCTCCTTCCCTCGGGCCCCGGGGGAGCCGGGAGAGTTCCTCTCGGCCGGCGCTAGACCCCGCGCGCCTCCCGCTCAGGCACCTTGTTGGTCGGAATTGCGCGAAGCCTCTTAAAAAGGGTTTGGATCTCGGTCTTGCTCGGCTCGGACGCCATTTTCTCTCCTTCCCAGACGCCAGCGCGACTGACGGGCCCCGTCGCGGGCCAATCCGCGGCCGCGAAGGCGGAGCACGAGGTCGGCCTCGAGGGGTGGGGCGATTCGTCCTGAGTTGGACCAATG